ACCATAACATACTGTATTTTGTTTTTTTCTGAAGACCAGTTCATATTTCACATCCAGTGCTTTTCCATTGAAAATCTCCTTCATCAATGCAGATACAGCAAGTAGAAATATCAATGTGATTTTTAAGGTAGGTTCTTACTAATAACCCCAATTCTTTTTTCTTCTTCTTTTTCTTTAAAACTCATTGAAATAATATTGCTTTAAGCCTCATTGAAAGAAAATATTTCAGAGCTAGTGTTTGAAATGTTTGGTTTAGGTGAGCTTCTCAGTTTTCAAGATGCTGTTTGATGTTAGACTTTATATGATATTTTTAGGAAATACATTGACGCATCCAAATTCTTGACTAGTAAAGAATCAAATAACTGCTGGGAAAACTGCATTTTTTATACTTTGTAGAGTGAGCCAGGATAAGTGACAAAGGGCAACACAAGTTATTTTCCCTCTTGAGGTAAAAAAAACACAGTCTAGAGCTGTGGTTTTGGGACTTCAGGCACACATTACTGGACTCAAGGCACCCCTTCATAACTTTTCTGAATTAGGTGGCTCCCAATTTCAAAAACTACATTGTAGATGAGAGTGCTTGTTTCCTCACAGAGGGGCCTGGCAGTGGGGATGTGGGATCATCCAGGCAGGGACAAGCATAAGCCTACACTTACCTTTTTAATTTGAAAATCACTAGCCCAGAGAAAGGATCGCTCAGGGCTTCATGATATGGCTATCTACAGCAGTCTGTTTGTAGTACAATATCCCTAGTGAACCAAAATACTGTTGTGTTAGAGGCTGCTTTTGGCACTAATATCCAGATCCTATTCCCGTAGTGTAACTAGGACTGGAGTGCTGACTTAGAGAGGGCACAAGAATGCTGTCTGGTGCCAGGCTGGCCACTAACCCAGTCACAACCAGTGCCCCACCCCACAGGGCCAAAGCTTTCTAGGTCTGCCTTCATCCTGTTCCACAAAGCAGGTGCCTAACAGTGCCTAGTAGTGATCCTATTCTACCCTACACAATTCCCTGAAAGTCTCTTAATGCATCTGCATTTGTATCATGCTGTCATCCTACCCTTAAGCCTAAGTCAATAAAAAGCAATGAGGAAGAGAACTACACACCTACTGTTTGCATTGACAGTGTTTCAGGGACATGAATAGAATTGCATTTATGCTCCTAAATCCTAACAGATAGAACGGGTTCTGCCCTAAAGTATTTAGGATTGATTTTTCCCCTGTCAGTGTTGCATGAGATTGAGATAGAATGGCAAAAGAGGTGACCTGTGTGATACAAGCCCATTGCTATGTTCAGGGTTTTGGAATGAAACTCAGGCTGCCCATGCTTCTATACATGCAAACAAAAAAAATACACATTTAATCTCAAATTATTTCTATTTTAGATTAAGGAAAATGGCAGAACTAAAGCATCTATGAGACTGCACAGTGTGGTTGTCTGTACCATACAAGCTGAAGAGCACAAAATTGCTGCTATCTTTAAAAATGGTGGTAGTTCTAAGAAATGTTATAGTGCTATGTGCAGAAAGCTGAAGTCTACACAGTTTAAATTTCTTGTCGGTGACATAACAGGGCAGCTGCAAATGGTGCAGCTAGCCAACAGTGACATCACCACCTAAGTGGCCATGCTGGGCTGCTACTCTGATTGACCTCTCCATAGTTATGCTATGTCTTTTTCTACTGTTGAGATATAATTGGCCTTTCATGCAGTTTTACAATTGGCCATGGCATAGGAACACAAAAAATCATCAAGCATGCTGAAGGAAGAACAACTATCTTACTTAAATACACATGTAGGAAAGCTGTGTATCACACTATACTTGCAGCTCAGACCAGTACGTTAAAATGTCAGGTATCACCTCACTTCATCCAACACATACCCCCAGGTTAGTGACACTAGTACACCCCAGAAAGCTCAGAAGAGGGCATGCATGCTATGTCTACCTCCACTGCAAATGTGTAATGAAGTTTCCTACCTGCTGTCATCCAGGGACTTATGTGTAGAGGAAATCATAATGTGTCCCAGAATACAATTCATTATTTGTTAAAAGGTAATACTTTAATAAAATAGTAACTATTGATTTTGTTCTAGATTATACACTATGTGTGTGTGGTGAGCAAACACAGAAAGACTTCTCTTCAGGTCTGAATACTACGCAGAATTAATTGGAATCTAGATTAGCTCTAAATGAAAGAGAAATGGATTTGAAAACAATAAAGGGAAATTTATGTCCCCTCATGTACTCATTTAGTGGCAGTAAATGTCTGTAAATTGCAATACTTCTATAAAAGGAACATAATAAAAGACCAAAGCAGCTTAATGTAACTAAAAGATAGCAATTTATGAAAAACTTTTTAGATGAAAGCTAAAAAATAGCAGTAAAACTCAGACATACTTTAGATATAGGGGGGGAGGGGAAAAGCAGGGCTTTTATTTTCACAGGCCATTTACCCAGCTATGGTGAAAAATAATCCCTTCATTACTTCTTGTGGCTACAATTAAAACCTGATTTCTCTAAGATTATCATTTAACTGCCTCTGTGGGGAGAGCAGTCAGCATTGCATTGCTGTTTGAAACTGCATATGAATCATGTCATGGATAAAATTTACATTCATAATAAGATTCCCTTAGCCTGTTACAAATACCAAGTTATGAAACTTAATATCAGTTCAAATATTGTTATTTCTAAAAAAATGGGATCTGGTATTAGATTATTTTAAAAATTAAATAAATAAAAATCCATTCTCCCAGATAGATTTCAAACACAAATAGGTACATGTGAGTAATCAACTAAAAGATTGCAGTAGGTGAAATGACAAATTATATCATTTCTGTTGCTGTCAAAACACTTTCAGCTTGAGTATATTGTCCCAAAACACAGAGAAGAGTAGTAACATTGAGGTAGAAAGGGGTGTGTCATTGGGATTTAAAGAGAAATTTTGTTTCCTGCTCTTTTTTTCACAGATGGGAGATGATCTACGTCAAGATATGCTGGTTCTGCAAATTATTCACATGATGGACAGGATTTGGATTCAGGAGGGACTGGATATGCAAATGATCATTTATAGATGTTTATCTACAGGAAAAGGCCAAGGTCAGTATAGATTAGAAAGGGTTTTTTATTACATTATTCATATTTCATGTAAATCAGTAATACACAGAACTCCTTCCTTCCAAATTTATTTCCATGCCTAATTTTTCTTCTCTTAAAGGAAAAAGGGTGCACAGAACCTCTCATAATTGGGTCTCAGGTTTATGTGTGTTAAGTTCATTTCTTCTTGCCCCCCAACCCTGACCTCTCATTCCACTGCCCCCTAATCTGAAGAAAAGCAACTCTAGCTAGTGATATTACTTAACAGCTTAAGCAAGAATTTTCACCAAAAAAAAAAAATTAAAAAGCCTCTGTTTATTCCAATTGCTGCCAGATTTTTTTTAAAGTACTCCACTAACTTTTTGTTCTGAAATGTGAATTTTTGGAAGTCTGGCCTTGGGAACTGCTTGATAGTGAGAGGGTCAGCAAGTTCAGCCCCTATTTAGTTGCCAGACTTGCTCAAATGGGAAGTGAGGTATTTTGGAAATTTGGCTCCATGTGCTGATAGAAAGAAGCTCTTGACTAATAAAGAACCAGACAGCTAGGGCTTTGTGAAATTTTGGAAGCCATTTCATTTCAGAGGTGTTTCAGGCAATTTTGGTGCTCAAAACAGCAAATCCAAATCGAAACAGAAGGCTCCAAAACAGCTCCGAAATTAATTGGAAGGCTCTGAAATGTTTTGGAAATGTTTCGGAGAATTTTGGAGTTTCAGAGCCAGGCTTGCAGGGAAGCAAAAACTAAGAAGAGGGAGAGGGGAAAGAGGTGGGGAAGGACGGCTCTGACATCCAGCTCCCAGTTCAATTCCCCAGCTCTCTGATCATTACCCCAGCTCTTCCTGGGGGGGCACAGACCCCTGACCTGCACCCAGGGTTTCAGCAGGCTGCCGCTGCAGACTGGTGCCAGCAGCAGCCACTTGGCGCAGCCTGTGCCGAATGACTGCAGTGCTGCCACTGGCCCCAGGCTTCAGCGGCAGCCCGTTGAAACCCAGCATGCAGATCCAGGGGCCCATACCCCCCGGAAAGAGCTGGGAGAATGATCAGAGAGCTAGGGAATCGAACCAGGGGCTGGGGAATCAAACAAGGAGTTGGGGAATTGACCCAGGGGCTGGGGAATTGGACCGGGGGCTGGGCAATCCCTACCACGTAACCTGGCTCTGCAGGGAGCAGAGATCCACACCAGGGTCTCCTCGTTACCTCTGCCTGCCCCGTGCAGCCCCACATCACTGGGGCAGTGCAGGGCAGGCAGCGGCGGCAAGGAGACCCCATGTGGTATCTGATTCCTGTGGAGCCAAGTCACATGGCAGGGACCAGCAGGCTTGCTCTCCACTCTGTGCTGCTTCCCTGCCCTGCGACCTGCCATGTCAGGGATCAGAGATCCACGCGAGGGTCTCCTTGCCTACACAGAGGGCAGTGGCTCTCCCCCTCCCTTTCCCCTGGACAAGCCATCCATGGCCCCATCCTGCTCCCCACTGGGGCCCTGCAGCCCCAAACTCCAAGCCCTGCCCAGCTGAGTAGGGCTGTGCGAAGCTTCCCTTGCACCCCAATCAGAACAGATTCAGAGGAGATTTGGTGGAGCTGAATCTCCGACACAGATTCAGCCAAAACAAAACAGGACAGTGACCTGAAACACCAAAACAAATCACTGTCCTCCGAAACAGTCAGGTCTGAAACCGAATTGAAACACACCCATTTCACACGGCCCTACAGACAACCCCCAGTGTTGATTTTGAAATACCACTTTGGATATTAATGCGTTTTAGGGCAGTAAATCTGAAGACTTTATGCCTTTCCATTATGGTTTGCTATAGCAAAGTCATAGCAGGGATGCCAATTGCTTGCTGAAGAAATTTACTGACAGCAAAAGACTCGCACTATTTTTTTAATGGCTTTTCAAATCTTGTACTGAATGCAATTCTAGCACAAATAAATAGATTCATAGATTCATAGATGTTAGAGTCAGAAGGGACCTCAGCAGGTCATTGAGTCCGACCCCCTGCCCAGGGCAGAAAAGAGTGCTGGGGTCAGATGACTCCAGCTAGGTGTTTGTACAGTCTCCTTTTGAAGATCCCCAGGGTAGGGGAGAGCACCACCGCCCTTGGAAGCCCATTCCAGATTCTGGCAACCCTTACTGTGAAGAAGTGCTTTCTAATGTCCAACCTAAGTCTGCTCTCCATCAATTTGTGGCCATTGTTCCTAGTTACTCCAGGGGGTGCCCTAGTAAACAAAGCATCTCCTGTTCCCTGCTGCCCTCCCCTGATGAATGAATAGGCAGCCACAAGATCACCTCTCAGCCTTCTCTTGTGAAGGCTGAAGAGATCTAGGTCCCTCAGTCTCTCCTTGTAGGGCCTTACCTGCAGGCCTCTGACCATACGAATGGCCCTCCTCTGGACCCTCTCAAGATTCTCCGCAGCCCTTTTGAAGTGCAGCACCCAAAACTAAATGCAGTACTCCAACTGTGGCCTGACCAGTGCCACATAGAGGGGAAACATCACAGCCCTGGACCTGTTCATCATGCATCTGCTAATACATGATAAAGTGTGGTTAGCCTTGTTGATCACTTCATCACATTGATGACTCTTGTTCATCCTGGAGTCAACTCTGACTCCAAGATTTCTTTCTGCTGCTGTGCTGCTGAGAAGGTCATCCCCCAGCCTATAAGTGTGTTGGTGGTTCTTTTTCCCTAGGTGCATCACTTTGCACTTGTCTTTGTTGAACTGCATCCTGTTTCGTTCTGCCCATTTTTCCAACCTGTCCAGATCTGCCTGGATCTGTTCCTACCCTCTGGTGTGTTAACTTTGCCCTATAATCTGCAAACTTCAACAGGGTGCTCTCCATGCCCTGATCCAAGTCACTGATGAAGACGTTGAATAGCACTGGTCCAAGGACCAAGCCTTGTGGGACTCCACTGCCCACATCTTTCCAGGTTAATATCAACCCATCCACCACCACTCTGGGCATGACCCCTAAGCCAGTTTGTCACCTATCTGACCATGTAATCATGGACATCACAGCTGGTCAGTTTATTTACAAAAACAGAATGAAATACTGTACCGAAGGCCGTCTTAAAGTCTAGGTGGATGACATTTACCTCGACTCCTGCATCTAAGCATTTTGTGATCTGGTCATAAAAAGAAACAAAGTAAGTCAGGCAGGATCTACCATCAGTGAATCTGTGCTGATTTTCTTTCAGCATTATTTCCCCATTAGGGGTCCTTAATGATTTTTTCCAGAGTTTTCCCAAGGATAGAGGTGGTGAGACTAACTGGCCTATAGTTTCCCGGTTCCTCCCTCCCCTTCTTGAAAATAGGGACCACAATGGCCCTTTTCCAGTCCTCTGAGATCTGACTGGAGTACCATGAGTACTTGAACAGCTGTGCCAGCAGCTGTGCTATGACACTAGCCAATCAGCACCCTTGGATGAAGTTCATCCAGGCCCACTGATTTGAACACATCCAGCCCCTCCAAGTACCCCTTCACTAAGTCTGCATTAACTGTTGGTGGGTTGGTGTCCCTCCTGTGCCTGTCCATGATCCAGTTGGGAAATTTGATTCAGTCTGTGTCTAGGAATACAGATACAAAGAACTCCTTGAAAAGCTCAGCTTTGTCTCCCCTCTCTGTCACCAATTGCCCTAGTTTGTCCCCTAGGTGTACTATGTTACCATGTGCCTTCCTTTTGCTCCCTATATACCTGAAGAAGGACTTTCTGTTGTCCTTAATTTTTGTTGCCAGCCTAAGTTCTAATCCTGCTTTGGCCTTCCTAACTGATTAGTGCAAGCCAGGGAGGTACACTCCTCCTTGGTGGCTACCCCATGTTTCCACAGCCTGTATACCTCTTTCTTTGTCTTTAGGCTTTACTGGACTTCCCTATTCAGCCAAGAGGGCTTCTTGGCCCCTTTGCACCCCTTTATGCACAATGGGATTGTCTCCTTCTGCGCCCATAGGTTCACTCCCTTGAGGAATGACCACCCTTCCTGGACCCCCATTTCACCAATGCTCTTGAGTTTTAACACCTCACTAACTAATCTCATGAGCACAATGAAGTTAGCCTTGATGAAGTCCAGTAGTTCAGCCCTGCTGGTTAATTTACCCACCCTTCGCCGGATAGTGAATTTAGTCAATTGATGGTCACTGTCCCCCAGGTTACCTTGTACCTACAGATCCCCACCAGGTCATCCCCTGTAGCTAACACCAAGTCCAGCAAGGCGTTTACCCTAGTGGGATCATATATCTCCTGCGTTAGGTGGAGGTCCCATATGCAGGTTAAGAACCTACATGAGTGGTTACATTAGGCTGACTGCTGCTCCCAGCAGATGTTAGGGTAGTTTAGGTTGCCCACAACAACCATATCTCTTGACCTGACAGCCTCTGAGAGCTGTCTGGAGAATTCCAGGTCTAGCTCATCCTCCTGGTGTTGCAGTTTATAGTAGACCCCCACCACCAAGACTCTTTCCGCCCAACCCCATTGTATCCTGACCCACAATATCTTGGTTTGGCCCTCCTCTGATCCCATCTTGATTATAGAGGATGTATATTGTTCCTTAACTTAGAGAGCAACACCCCCTCCCTTTTTCCCCCACTCTGTCCCATCTGTACAACCTATAACCCTCAATGCCTACTGCCCAATCATGAGTAGGGTCCCTGCAGGTTTCAATTAGTCCAACCAGGTCGAAGTTGTTGCTTGCAAGCAGGAGTGTAAGTTCCTCCTGCTTGTTCCCCATGCTCCTAGCATTAGTGTAGAGACATTTAAGCATCCCAATGATGTGCCCAGATTATCTACAGCACAGGAACTTAAAATAGTTTCTGTGGCCTTTTTGTGGCCACAGAAACTAAAAATAGAATCTGTGGCTTTATTGACTACATAGCAGAGAAACTTAGGAGAATGAGAAATGCAAGCATGCCGTGGAGAAATCCCAAGTGGTTAGTAGAATCCTAAAAAGGTGTCCTGGTCATCTTTTTTTTCTTTATAGATGAAGATTTTGCTTCAAAAGAAAATAAAATTGAACTCTGAAATATCGTTTCTACACAAGAAAGACCAGTATACTAATGCTCAATTTCATCTTTTTTTTAACAGAAGATTTGGGGAGTGCCTGAGAACAATGTCATATTTACTCACATACCATACATAACCTTTTCCCAAAAGACAGCCCTCCAAAATTGGAGGACTCTTAGAGCCACTCTAATTAAAGTGCCACCCTCCCCACTCCTGGAGCACCTATAAAAGTGTCCATAAAGCTTATTGAAAAGTATGTATGGTTTCTGTGTGGGCTGATAGGGTGATGTGTGATATAAATTAATGAACATTTTCTCTCTCTTTAAACTTGAAAGTTTTTCTTGTGGACTCTGTCTCTCTGATTAGGATTGGTACAGATGGTACCAGATGCTACAACTCTAGCCAAAATCCACAGGGAGTCCGGACTGATAGGACCATTAAAAGAAAACACCATTAAAAAATGGTTCAGTCACCATCACCCTTTGGAATCAAGTTACCAAGAGGTATATTTTAACGTAAATATTTAAAAATGGTTTATTATACAAATAAAAACAGCTGATGTGACAATATTCTCAGTCTGCTGGATTTGAGATAAACAGATCACACGTGCTATAGACTCCCAATTTCTCTGAGTAGAAAGATACTAGATTCAGTGCCATTCATCTTCAACAACAGTAGGTCAGAAAGACATTAAAAATTGAAATGGGGAGATACAAGATGTTAAAAACAAGAACACTGAGCCTACATACATTTTATTTTTTGTTTTAATCCAGCTAGTGAAATAGTTTGTTTTACATATAATTACAAAAAAGAATGGCTTTTCTGTATTTGAGAATGTCCACATCCATAATCACAGTTTTAGAAAGCTATATTTTCACTAGGTTCCCCTTGTAATATGATACATCAGGTCATGCTTGTCATGTTACATTATGAGATCCTATGCAACACAGCTGGTTTTATACAACCTGGTGTTACACTTCAACCAGAAAATAAGGAAACAATATTTATAGAACCAGAGGTCTCTCTCTGAAGGAAATAAGCCATGAAGTCCCCTTTACACATTCTTGTTAGAAGGGACATGTCCTAAAGTCCATGGAAAGACTTTCTTATACCTTGCATTTCTAAAACCATTTCTGAACCTCCCCTCATGCTTGCAATAGATGGGTACCAATTTTTTACCCAAGTTTAGAGTGGAGGCAGCTATCACCTATTGATTTAAAAAACCTGAGTACTTGTTTTTTTAATGGTTCAAATAATCTAGAATTTTCTAAAATAAATTTGCAGCACAGTGGGCATGTCTATATTACACACTTACTGTGCATTAGCCTAATAACACTGTGCAGTAGCATGGCAGTTAAAAACCCATGCTAATAGCATACTGTGCAATGTTATTAGGCTAATGCGCACTAAGCATCATGAAAAAAACATGAGCTGGCACTACTGCACATTAACTAGAGTTACTGTGCATTTAGTTAGTACTTTAGTAAGCAAGTACTAAACTAAATGCTCAGTACCTAAGGTGCATTAATGAACATGTAGACGCACCCAGTTACTAAGGCTATGCAAAATTTCGGCAGTTGTTTCATTTTAGAGGTGTTTTGGCCCCCAAAACATCGAATCCAAAATGAAAGGGAAGGCTCCAGAACATCTCCAAAATAAACTGAAACCATCCAAAACATTTCAGAAATGTTTCGGATGTTTCAGAGCTGGGCTTGCAAGGAAATAGAAACTAAGAAGAGGGTGGGGGAAGCAGGGCGAAAGGACTGCTCAGATATTGACATCTGTAGCTGGCCAGTGTCTGCAGTCTGTCCCTGAGGTCTCTTCCAATCCCAGTGCTCTGGGGCAGGGACAGCAGTCTGCTGTCATTCTGCATTCAGATCTGGGGGCCTGTGCCCCCCGGGAGGAGCCTGACACAGCCCTGGAACCCTTCCAGGGGGGTGCGGGCCCCCCAGTCTGCATGTGAGATAACAGCATGCTGCCGGCTAGGGCCAGCACTAGCACCTGAGTCTGCTCGGCTTAGCTTGCGCTAAGCACAGCTGGGGGAGCTGCGGGAGAAGCCCCTATAGTTGCTCTGCCCAGCCCCATCCCTCACCCAGCCCAAGCCTCCTGGCACTTTAAAAAAAAAAAAAAAAAAAAAAGCCCTGCAGTCATTGGTTGCAGCCTCAGTGATAGGGGCCTCTGGGTGCTCATGGCAGAGCCACCCCACACATCGTGGGGCAGTGGGGGGCAGCAGAAATTGCCCCCTCCCTCCCGACTGGCACCTGTGCAGCAGCTGCCCCATGGCACAGGTGCAGCGCAGCTCAGCAGGGCACTACACACTGTCTGGGAGCTGGGGCTGCTGGGGCTGAGTGCTACTGGGCTCCAGCTGACTGCTAGAGCGGCCCCAGCTCCCAGACAGCACACACCTCTCTATCGAGCTATCCTGCACACACGTGTCATGGGGCAGCTGCTGCATGGGTGCCAGGTGGGGGGGCAATTCCCACTGCCACCCGCTGCCCTGCACTGCCCTGTGCTGCATGGGGGGACTCTTCCATGAGCCCTCAGAGGCCCTGATTGCTGCTGCCAGAGCCAGTGACTGCAGTGTTTTTCTTTTTCCTTTTTTTTAAGTGCCAGGACTAGGCTGGGGCCAGGTGGGGGATGGGGCCAGACAGGGCAGCCATGGGGGCTTCTCCCGTGACTCCCCCTGCCTCTCCCCGACTGATCCAAATCTCTGAAACAGTATCAAAACTCTGAAACAGATTTGGCCAGATCGAAACACCAAAACAAATCACTGTCCTCCAAAATGGCCAAATCCAAGATCAAAACAAGACATAGCCATTTCGTACAACCCTACCCGTTACTTTTACTTTTTAGATAAATGAAGTACAGTCAGTTCTGACTACACAGGGTAAATATGCAATTTTTGCATATACATATAATTAAATGAATTTCTACCCTCCCCTTGGTAATACTACTTTTGCTTGTATAACAGTTTTTATCCAAGCATCTCAGAAAGTTCTGTAGGTAGGTAAGCCTTCCTGTCCTCCTTTTACAGAGGCACAAAAAGTTTAGGTGACTTGTCCAAAGGTATACAGGGACAAAATGGCACAGTATAGGAATAAAACACAGGTGTCCTGAATTCTGGTGCTGTTGTCTAACCATTCCAGAACGCTTCCCTCCAAATCTGTCACTAGATTTAGCACCACTTCGTTAAGATCACTAATACTTAAGCAGTTATTTATCTTGGATTGTGTGGCATAAGGATAATACAGTATTGTAAGCAATGAGATTTTGACTGCAAAATTAATAACCATGAAGTAAAATGTATTGGAGCTTTATATAAAAGACTCACATTACTACTAAGACAAACAGTTTAGTTGGATTCACCGGAGATTCAGATTCTTCGAAGTATCATCTGGAGTTAGGACGAACCCTTCACCCACCCCCTTCTCTACGGTATGGTAATAGAGGAGTCTTCTGTAGGAGTAGTTGAGCAGGTTCCTTTGGGGGAAATTTCAATTAGGCACTGAAGTTCTGGTATATAAGCCACTGAAGGCAATGGGAAGTTTTGGATCAGCCCCTCAGTGAGTATCTAGTGGTTAGAGCAAACGTATCAGAATCAGGACTTGTTTTCTAAATCACTGACATATTGGGCAGTCACTTAACCTTTCTGTGTCTCATGCTCTTTCTCTGTAAAATGGGGTTGTAATGCTTATCCAGGGATGTTGTAAAGCTTAATTAATTACTTCATGAAGTTAATTGAATTCTTGGATGAAAGGTTCTGCCTCTTTAAAATCAGCCATTTTTAGATGGAATAACTGGTCAGACAAATTGCTGATCTGTTGTACTTTGGCAGTTGCCCCACTCTTAATTTAGTCCCTAATTCTGCAAAACTAAGGCCAAATCTAACTTTAAGCATATTTGGAAGTGCTTGGTTTTAATGTTGGTACCACACACAAACACTTGTGTTTTTTCTTTTTATCAATTAGGCAGTAAGGAATTTCTTCCATTCCTGTGCTGGCTGGTGTGTTGTTACCTTCATCCTGGGAGTCT